ATTCATATAACGTATGAACGTATTATTTGCCAGTTCATCTGCTTTATGCATTGCATGAAACACGAGCGCTTATATGGAGTTTAAAAATGATATAGCTACCAATTTAGATTTACAAAGTTTATGACTGTTATTTATGTAGATATTTGGCCGTATTTTAATACACTATATTTACTTTAAACGCTACGGCAATTTTATTATTAAATACCATAGCCATAGCCCATAGGCATAGCGTACTGAATTATACAATCAGAGTGCCAAGCGTAGTGGTCCGTAGTTGATACCACTCAGTTTAATAACGTACTAACAAACTAAGTAATTTTCATACTAACAAACATAGTAATTTTTAACGAATGCTAGGATTGCTAACCGTATATATATTGTTGTATATTCAACAGTGACTACAACAATTGTTGAGTTACGCAATTGTATTTCTAAAACCACTTATAACAGGATGCAAACACACTTTGTAATTCCTGAAATAACACGATAGTGGGAGCAGATGAAAAATGAGATATGGGATATCCTGTCGGATGAATCTATCATCTTGTGTGGTGATGGGCGGAATGATTCCCAGGGCACAGTGCCAAATACTGTATGTATGCAATAATGGAACAACATCTGGACCTGATAGTGGATGTGGAGGTAGTTGACAAGGGTCAAACGAAAGGAATATCCACAAATATGGAAGTCTTTGTACTCAAGACCATTTTAGAAAGTGGTCACAGATCAACCAGCTTCCATCATTGCATTGGTTCGCAAGATGAAAGGTATTGAATGCTTAAAATTTTAAGTATAAACATGGATAAGTTTGTTTTCAGGGGTGGAGTGATGTTGCTTTTAACGAATGAGCTTTCGAGGCCTTACACAATTAACAATACAAACATTAAGTTGTCAGCGGAATTACTTTTATGTGTGTGCTGTTTGCGTCATTTCATTTGTTCCTATTGACATGGTCTATTCATCAATTAACTCAGTAATTGTTACGATTCCCATGCAGGCAGTGGCGGTGGAACAGGGGGCTAGGGGGCTTTAGCCCCCCGGAAGTAAAAGTGGGGGCTTAGCCCCTTCCCCCCAAAAAGTTGTTTTTTCTGGAGAAATTTTGGTAATTAAGGAAAAATTTAGGGTATTTTGGAAAATTTAGGTATAAGGTGAAAAATTTACAATACTTTGTTTAAAAAATGTATGTCCAGAAAATGTTTTTGTTATATGTCTAGAAAAATGTTTTGTTATATGTCCGGAAAAATTTTTTTCAGCCCCTTTTTTGTATATGTCTGGAAAAATTTTTTGGTTTATGTCCGAAAAAAAGTGGCCGAGGGGGAGGGAGGGAAGGAAGAAAATTTTAATCATGAAAAAAAATTTAACCCCCTCCCCTAAATAAAATATGTTCCGCCGCCGCTGCATGAAGGTTTTGTAGAATTATGTCTGCATGTTGTGTGCACTCTAGTCTTAGGCCTGGTATTGGCTGTTGCCGTAAAGATTTGCATGCATCACAGTGAGATGTTAATGTTAGAAAATAATTTTTCTTTGCAGAGAAACATCCAGAAGAGTTTGGCGAAATTTTTTATGCACTAGATGTCTGGCATAAGTCAATTAAGCTGTTGAAGAAACTTGCCAAAGTATGTTATCATATTTCTTTTTCTAATTGCTACCTTCTAACCTTCTTTAACTTTGCTTGGAACTGCCATGATTATAATGTATAACATAATTGTAATTACTTTGCACAAATTTTAGGCCGCTAAACTGCTAAAGTAAAGCATTGTGATCAGTGAGTCAGTGGACAGAAGCTATCCGGGATCTCTTTTGGTTTGTGTGCCAAAATTGCAATGGTGATGAAGAAAAACTAAAGGTAATTGCTTTTATTTGCAAAGATATCTTATACAGTTTATGTAGGCTATTTTCGTTCCATATTTCATTCTGCATAATGAATACAAGCACCAGTATTTATTTTGGATATATATACTATGATTATTTTTCAATGGAGTCTTTCATTTTTTTAGGACAGTTGGCTTGGGGTTTTGCACCACATTGCTGGCGAGCATGATTGGGTAGATGGGGAGTACGAGCATGGGCCATTAGTCGCAAATGAAGTGGACAAGACGTATCTGGATAAAAACTCCAATGCCATTGAGAGTCTCCGAAAGGTGATACTCGACCAGAAATTTCTAAAAGGTTTACCCAAATACGTCACATTCATTTGTGCATTAGAAACTTACATTTTCCTCATAATTAGAACTAATTATGAGGAAAATGTAAGTTTCTAATGCACAAAGCACTGACAAAATGGAGTCTTATGAGTGTATATTGATTCAATAACTATCTAGTAATCTCCATATACCATAGGCACATAAGCAAATTGGAGAATTTCAACTCCATGCTATTGAAGTATGCGCCAAAAAGAATGGGATTCCAGTAAGTGTATTTTCAAATTAGTAATTGATCATTGTGAAACACTAACTACTACTCGCAGCTATCGACCACAACTCGCACACATTTCGTAAAGCAGCAATTACAGATGATGGTAAACCTAAATACAACAAGTTTTACAACAAAAGATCTCAGAATTGGAGAATAACAGCAGTTAAAGAGCCAAAACATACCATTTTTGGCCCACTTTAGCAATACGAATTTTAAAAAAAGGGCTGATGATGAAGACAGCATTTTGCGGAAGGTAGATGTCCCCAGAGATCATCCCAAGGATATTGCTCCTTCAATTGCCCTCAAGCCTATTCCTAAGACAAGTGATCTGGTGCAACAATCTCTTTCCCGGTTTATCCCTCGTCCTCCTGATCCAGAAGAACAAATTGACGATGACAATGTAGGCATGGAATAATATGATGTATATAGCACATTTTGAATAATGTAATGTATATATAGCACATTTCGAATAATATGATGTATAGCCCATTGAGTCGCATTGCACCCTAATGCGCCCTACTTTATTATTTTACTCTATCTAACGCCATATTATTTTACTCTGTCTAACGCCAGACGATTTTACTCGTCAAGGAGAGAGCGCTGGCGCTCAATGGTATATATATAACACATACTAGAAAATACATGCATGCAGAAACCCTCGCCTTGCTGACAAAACCATTTTATTTTCCGAACGTGAAGTATTTTAAGTAGTTGTCATGGTAAC